CTACAGTTTCTTGCTGCACTGCTTCACCAATCTTAACTCAATGATTAAACTTCAGTGCCTTCACAGATAATGTCATATATTGATCCCACTCATCCATATGTCTTGCAGCTTCATCACATCAGGATGTGATCACAGGCAACTATGGACATGGTAAGTCTCATTCCAGGCTGAAGGGAACCAAAAAAATCTCTTTTTCACACATGGCAGACTGACCGCAACAGAGGTTTCCTCATGCCTGCAAGACATTTGTCAGGTTTAGCCTTCATCCAAGGAGGGACAGAAATTAAGCAGATAGAACACACTCTCAAAACAAAATGTGAAATTAGTGGATTCAAACTATGACTGACTAGTCTGTGTTCTTGTTTCAGCCTTGTAAGTGAAAGAGAGGGGGCATTTTGCTACTGCATTTTTAGCTACAAGCTTTCACTCACCTCTTACTTAGTGGTTTGTTTTTTTCTTCATAGTACTCATCAGGTTTCTTGCCAAAGACTAGGCTTTGGAAAAGAACTTTGAAATCTCCACAGCTCATCCCCATCCAAAGCCCATCTAAGTAGTTGCGTTAACACAAGAGGCCCTTAAACCAAACCTTTTCTTCTTGTGGCAAAACTATCCATAGTCTGTAACTGGGAAGAAAAGGAATATCACAAGGTTTAGATTCTGACTTTCCATTTTGAGGTTTTCTAGTAACTACCAATGGGAAAAAAACAAACTCATTGAGAAGCAGAAAAATATAAAGGTTTTTTTTTTAGGAAAAATATTTATTCTATGTAAAAAGCAGAATGTTATCAAAAGAGTCAGGAGTCACTTGAACATAGCAACTGACATAGAAGAACAAACTAAGTAAAGAGGCTATTTTGCACACCACCTTAGCAGATTACAAGACTGTATTTTATTTTGCTAAATCTGGCTCATTACAAAAATCTGTAATACTTTAAAAAATGGTTTCCTGAGATGTCCACATAAATTGTGTTATAAAGGTGATTTAGTAACATCCAGAAACGAGACTATTATTGCAGACAACAACACTCGAGGTTTCCTTTAATTTGGTGGCAGAGTTTTTAAGACTCAATTGGGAACCTGAGCAAATCTTTTCCAGAACATAACTGCCAACATGATCCTGAGGCTGCTCACTGTTCTCATTAGTAATTTCCTCTATTTTTCCAAATCCTATTTTTCACCTCTTAAACCTCATTTGTAGTTATTGGTTTCTTCCAGTCTTGAGACAATAATAAGATGAAATCAAATAGTCTTCCTTAATAACACTGCTGGCCAGATGTTAAAGAGAGCAGAGAAGCTCTAAAAGTTCTGTTTGGCTTTCATTATAACAATTATAAATGCTATGAGATGTTACATGACATTTATATTTATTATAGTTGTGAATGGTCACACAGCAATCCTTTAGGATTTCGTACACAAATCACCTATCATTGAAGATGACTGGTCTGACCTTGAGCATCTTTATTTTAAGAAACCTTCCAATTAAAAAAAAAAAAATCACTCAGGATTATGGTTTTATTTTGTTCTATCCAAATACAGTTCTGTCTACAGTGAAAGTATAAACAAATCTTTGAAAGAGTAACTGCAAAATTGTGGTTAGAATTATATTATTTCGTGCCCTAGGTATAAACAAATTAATTGAGTTAGCTAAAAATTTCTTTGCTGAGCAAGCTTTACCTATCACGATATAAAAACACTCCTCAAAAAATCCCCATTCATATCAGCATTGTTAATACTTAAAAAAAAAAAAAAAAACAAACCATATGACCATAAGATTTTAAAATTCTGACAGCAAATTTTACCTTCTCTTCATATCATGGAGGCATAGATAACAGAATATTTTGAGTTGGAAGGGACCCACTATGATCATCAAATTCCAAGTCCTCGCCCTGCACAGGGCTGTCCCAAGAATCACACCATGTGCCTTACATGTAGCTCTTTAAAGTATACTAGTTACACTATTTATTACAAATGAACCAAAATGTTTATAGTCTTTACATTCTAGAATTTATTGGTCACACATTATTCTTTTGCTATATTCTTTATCTTGGTATAAATTTCTACCTTTCAGTTTAAAATTCTACTCCTATTAAATGCAGTTTTTTGCTTAGGTACATAATGATGAATCTACAAAAATAAGCACAGTATAACAAATCAATTTTAGCAGTCCAACCTTTAAAATATTTGTAAGAGTGATAAGCCTCACAACTAGAATAACACTGGACTGAAATTCCTTATTACCATTTAGAGCAATTATAAAAAAATTTCAAGCGGTAACTGTAATTTACAACTCATTACTTAGGCTGTTAAAATAATTAAGCTTTCCACATCCACGGAAGTGACCCACCAATTCAAGCAAGCATAGCTCGACACCAGTTTGTACTACATTTACTTGCCTAGCCTCGTGTATGATATCTACACATTAAAGCAAGTCCTGTGTGCCATCATTCTACTTTATCATGCAGGCAACACTTACCTCTACCACAAAAAGAGAACAAAGCATTTTATTTACTGCCTCGCTTGAACTGTGAACAGTAACTTATTCCACAACTGAGGATCTTTTCTCTTGCTCAAACTAGAGCCTCAGCAAGCATCACCATTTTGTAGAAAAAAGGAGAAGACAATGGTGAGATGAGGGGAAAAAAAAATCAGAAGAGTAATGAAATGCTCCTTTTATTGTTCACCTGACCAAAAGAAAAAAAAAAAACAGACAAGGACAATGAGAAGAGTTTAATATTTTAAAATTATTTTTTCAATTATTTTTTCAGTTATTTTTTGCTTACATTTTTTAATCTAAAAGCTCAAAAATTAGAAGTCAACATTTTGTCAACGTCTGCTAAAACATGCTGTCAACTTATGTCAATTTTTATTGTTTGGAGTGCAGTTATTTTTAGAAGAATTATATTTAGGAGTGAGTTAAACTAGCCTGTTCACATTGCACGCTACTGCTTAATATTTCTGACAGTAGCTCTTGTCTTTCTTTTATGGCCAACTTAAAAAAAAACATTAAGAGAACTACACTCTTGAGATCAGAGTACAGCTCTAGAAGTTGTTTAATGGCTGAGTGAATGCAACTACTATTTTAAGCAGTAACGTGGATTGCAGAGGTCAGCCAGGGCTGAAGGGAAATGTTCACTTCAATTAGTTTCTAATACCTTAAGATCAAAATGTTCTGACAAAGAGCAACTTATGAATTCCATGAAATATCCATTATATACATGCCACAACAGACCATTAAAGTGACTCAAGGCTCTTCAGCTACTAAAAAGCAGCAGTCACACAACATCTGCAGAGATCTCTTTCTCCATGACAGCAGCTGTCAATCTGAGGGGCTTTTAATGTTGCACTGAAACACAATGTCCCCTTACAGATAAAGGGCCATTTGGGTAGGTGTGACAGACCATGGATGGCAAGCACTGAGGTGAGAAGAAAGGCATGAGATGGCATTCTCTAGGGGAAGGTCATCACTGCCCTTTAGCAAAGCAGCAGTTTTGGGTACCTTCCTCTCTCCATTGAAAGACAGCGGATCTATTGCCTCTCTGCATTCCTCATACTCAGCTCTGTTTTGTGGGTATACAGAGGTACACTGAGCAGGGATAGTCAAACCAAGGCAGTGTTTCTCAAACTGCAGTGTAAACAATGTAAACAATGCTCAGCAGCTCCAAGGAAAAAGGTTTGAAAACTGCTTGTTTTAGAAAAAGTTTGAGATACACTCTTATTAGCTGCATCACAGCAGTGAAGGTTTGCAGCACACCACCAGATTCAGGAAGAGATGCTTATGCATATCTGGCACTGAAAATGGGGGAACAACAAAAAATGGGGGAACAACACTGGTAGGTGTTGAATTTTTTGCTCAAAGTCTCTCTGCTGCCTGTAGGAATAAATCACCTTCATAAATTCATGCTCCATTGCAATAAAAAAAGCTGAGGGTAAATCAGCACTTACAGAGGTGTTGTATTTAGAAGAGAGAGAGGAAAACACTGTGACTTTAAACTTAATACACACACAGAAGAATATGATCCTGCTGAGACCAGAGTTTGGGTGAAGGAGAGAAGTATGTAATCACAATGAAACGTGGTTCCACAGTCTATCAATGCTCATTTCCCTACCAAGCCAAGATACCATAGTTACTGATCAGCTTAATTTTTGTCTGTCCCCAAACAGCATTCAAGATTACTAATATGTTATTAAAAAAATTAAATTACCCAAAGTGCACCTAACCACTTCACTCCATATTGAAATATTATGAAAAGGAAAGGCATAAAAAAATCAAATCACCAGTAGTTTAGTTTGAGGCATACTTAGTTTTTCTAATAAATACACTAAAAGACACTGACTCCATTCTCGCAGACCTAACTCTATCAGCTTTTATTTAAAAAATACATTTTTTTCACTACCGCAAGACAACTTCATTTTTACAGAAAACCCCAATAACAAAAGCACCAAAACAAACAAACAAAAAAAAAACCCCAAAAAAACAAAACAAAAAACGCCAAAACAACCAAAAAAAAAACCCCAAAAAACCCACCCCATCTTGCTTTTATTTACATGTTGTGTCAAGCAACTTTTCATTACATGCAGTTCGGTCAAATCTGACCATAATGTTAAAGCCTAGATCTAATACAACATTTGCAGTACACCTACATGGGCAGCTGAAGACAGCTATCTGTTCATGTCTGGAAATGAGCCAACATATGGCCCATGACAGTATGGACTGCCTTTCAGAGCAGACACCTCTTTTCACCTCTTCCAGACTACCCACATACAGTATGATATGAATCTAAAATCTATGAATGACAGTAAAGATAGGTAAACTTTATATTCCATCCCTTCTCTAGTTTTCATCTGTCAGATTTAAACCTATAGGCAATCTTCTCTATCCACTGAAGATGAACTCAGCTGCTTACATTCTTTCCTTCATAAAATGAAGCACCTGTCCTTATTTTCTCTTAAAAAATGTGGCCAGGAGACAGGGTACCCATCTTTGATATTAGGTCTGTCCCCTACAAAGCAGAAGCATCTTCCTTGGTCTTCTGGGAGTTCAAAAGCATACCTCCTACCTCCTGTGGGGGACAATACATATATTAAAAATATGTTATAGACAAACACAAATTGGAATATTATTCACCTTCCCTTTGCCATTGTTCTACTAAGCACAAAACAATTCAAAATTCACAAGAGCAGACAAAGATCAAACATTTGTATATGACTCAGCAGTTAGGACACACAATACATTCTCCAGATCTTATATTTTTAAAATAGATCTGCACACCATTTATTAAATCTTATCTCCAAGGCTTGCATAATTCTAGCCAATATTCATACATGCACTACAGTGAGACTATCATGTACCAGATATAAATTTTCATTAAGAAAGTTCAGAAAAAAACTCCATGCAATCTCAACAATATTATTATTATAATTATATTCAAGTGTTTCATTGTCCATTTTAAGCATTTGAAAACATTTTCATTTTTTGAAGAGCCGTAACTCTGTGCACTTCATACATATTTTCCTTCTACAAGGCTCCAGATATTTCAACATTTCAACAGTCACACACAAGACACATTTTTCTGAAGTGTTTCTTTTGAATCAAAGTACTGTTTCCAAGTACACATGAATCAGACTTCTCTACAATCCTATCAACAATGGTGTCCAAATGGTTGCTCTTGTTTCAACAAGACATCACAGCCATCTATCATTTTGTCTGCAACTCCAGCTAAGAGGTAGCTGAGCACTCTAAAAATAAAGCCAACAGATGTGTCTTGGGATCTAAATGGACATAATATCTTGAAAAATAAGCTAAACTGCTAACTTGCAAAAATGACATACATGAAAGCTGCAAGGAAAAAAAGCACCCAAACATTAAAAGCTTCATGTTGGAAGTCAGACTTTTGAGGAAAATGGGAAACTTAAGTTAAGTCTTATAGTGCAAGTTTGAAAGTGTTGCTACATGATCTCATGAATTCCTGGAAAAAGGAGATATAAAACAGGTAGAGAAGAATCTGTCTTTAAAAGTCCCTCAGCCTTCTAGAAAGTTACCACCAAGCACAGTTCTTAGCTCTCTCTAGCAAACATCAAAAACTGACCAAAAACCAGAACATCCAACATGTTTTATGACTGCATTACACAGCTCTTAAAGGTTTTTTTTCCAACTGTCTCTATTTTAAAACCACACCTTTATCTCTTTGCTTAATAAAATCAATCCTTTTTTCTAAAAAGAGTCTTTCTGGTAATGACACAGACAGTTTCAAGTAAAAAAAATTACTATTAGTAAAGAGGCTTGTTATAATCAAGGATGGACTAGAATATCTATAATCAGCATATGGTTAAGGATTCCAAAAATCTGAAACACTTCTTACCACATTCAGGCTCAAAAATCAACCTTGGTAGCCAGTGCTCCATATATAAGCACGAGCTACAGGAAAGCACTTACATTTCTGAAAATGCTCAGATACAGAAGATGACCCATTTAGATTGTTTCTATATACAAATGGCTTTCCTTTTCAATGTATTCCCAGGAACAATGAAAGAGAAAATTAAGGGGCTGTTTTATGTGACAGGGCAAGAGATTGAAAATATTAGAAGTAACAAAGATTTTTCTCTACCAGTAAGTTATCCTACATGAAATTTCTTACCAAGTATTACTTTAGGACAATACTGATCATCAGGCAGCTACTTCCCATGCAAACTCTCTAATATCTAGGCAGAGAGCACAGTGCCAGAAGCTGATCCAAGTTCAGAATTAATAACAAATTTAGGTCACAAATTTACATACATTTCTTAAGATGTCCCATCATTGGGCCACAGCAATCCACCAAGAGCATTCCAAGTATTACATGCTATGCTGTATTACCGAAATCACCAGACACTCAAAGGAATGGTCCACAGGTTTTGAACTTTTTGCAACACTGATCAGATTTCTAATGAATAAACAGATAGTAAACTTATAAAGAAAGTATAGCTTACTAGAAAACAGCCTATAAATACAGCAGTGTTTTAAGAATCCATGAAATATGATAGACCTTAAGAATCAATCCCATCTACCTCAATCGGTTTCTTTTCCCTTTTGATGTAATATCACTACTATCAATTTTTTTATGAATACTGCTAGTACTTTAAAACATTTGAGCCATGAAGCACCACTCTGAACTTTCCTGCAGGTAGGACAGATGACCATATGGGAGGAATACAAACCTGTCCAGAACTTAAAGACATGTACTTCACTTGTGACCCCAGAATAAAATAATGTGTTGACCACCTGAGTAGCGACAGATATGGAAGAGAGGTCCAATTCTCCTCCCACAAGAACTGGACCTCTTTTAGAGCAATAATATAAACAAAATTTAAAAAAATCAAAAATCAAATTAACTTCTTTTTAACTCAGGGATTTTTTTTATTATTATTATTATTAGTGGAGTACTCATGCTAGCCAGAGCCACAGAATGCATCCCTTTGTCTTGCCTGGGGATGCAGACAGCAGCGCTTCCAGTGGGTGCCACACTGGAAGCTTCTATGGCAGAGTAACCTCAGTTCCCTCTGCATATGACTGATACCCGTGAGCATCCTGCCATATAATGCCATTCCTCAGCTACAATGTAGGGCCCTGCAACACCACACGTGTTGTATAGGGTTTGATCTGTTTTCATAAGGGAAAATTCAGATCAAACTGCCATGCCAGAAACTTCCATCTCTACAGTTGTCTAAGCCACCTATCACTTCTCCTGAATTAACTGTAAGACAATTTTTCTTTCTGTTGTGAAGATCATCTAATCATGGGCATTTGAGGTTGCCCAAAACAGGATCAGCCAGAGCAGTTTGCTCAGAGTATTAAGATGTAACAGATACCACTCTCCTGTATCACCAGCACAGACCAACATTTGCCATAGTGGGTAGCTGGGTGGCATAGAAGTGAAAGTTCCTTCCCCACAAATCAAACAATTTTTGTAAAGCCCTTGTTCCTGAAGAGAGGCTTCCAAATGAAGACACCTATGACAAACTCAGCCTGTATTTTCACTTGTGTTCTCAAGCTTGCTAAATTTCACAACTGCACATGGAAACAGTTGCAGAAGTTTGTCAATCACAGCCTTCTCCTTTAATATCAACAAAAGGCAGAACCAGTTGAGAGTTAAAAGACCTTTCTAAGCATTTCTGCACAGACATTCAGTGGCTAGTGGCTGAACAAGATTTAACAAGTTAAGCATTTCCTTTTTTTAATGAAAAGCTGACTCTGCATGCCACTTTTACAAGTGCTGGTTGAACTACTTAAGTTCCCACATATTATCAACTTATAAGTGACTTGTGACTTTCCCAATTTTTTTTTAATTACTTGAAGGCTTGTTCCACTGTTCCGAAATTATTATGGAGGGTGTGGTTTTGTTTTATGATAATAAGAACTTTTTCTAGAAAAACACTTATCTGGTACAGCTCACCTGTCAGACAATCTATACGAACCTGTGTGTGTCTAGAAGGTGAAAGATTCTCAAACCACGAACAGTGTCATGTTGGAGAAATATACCTAAGAACTCTAATTTTGGCCACTCCATGGCCATTACATCAAAACTGGCAACTGGGAGCTGCTGGACAAGCCGCTTCAATATGGCATTTAGCATAAATATGATCAGCAAAGTATCTTAGTGTCAATCACTCTTTCAGATTTCCATAACCTACACATCTACTATGCAGAACAGATACCAGAGAAAAGAGCTACTCTGAAAGAAGACTCCACATCCAAAAAGGGCACTCATAAACTTGCTGGACTGGTCTAAGACAGCTTCAATTCATACATCAACTTTCATTCATGATTTTTCAAACTTCCCATCCCCATGCTATAAGCCATTTCTATATTCAATCTATCGATGCAGGAGTATTACTCATTATCCCTCTGTTTTGGACTGCTTCATTTTGTGTAAAATAGCTCATTACATCAAACAACCATAAAAATACTCCAAAACCCAGAAATTACAACATTTATTTCAGCTACAGAAAACTGAGAATACCACACTGCAATGAATATTAATTTATTTGAGCAGTCACTTCTGATGAGAAAGAACAAAGTTCAGATTATTGCTTTGAAGCAAGTAAAGCAAGGAGTTTAAGCTGGTTCTGTGTGTTCAAGAGAAACAGCCCAACAGTGAATGACAGACAGGTGTACAGATACATGTATCAAGAGAAATACAGATACATTTAGCAGGCACAGGGAAAAAGCCTCAATTCCCTTCTCCTTGCAAAAAAAAAGTATGGCTTCAATAAATTGCTTTTTACTGATTGAAGGGGTTTTTGCTTTTACATCTGCTATTGGAGAGCTTAAATTCACATGTATTTTATAGCCCACTCCTCACTTTCTTTCATTTCCTTGGGTAAATAATTCCAATCTTTTCATTCTGTTGACAAACTCTGCCATATCCATCATATCAAAGTCTTTACAATACTGTGATTGATCTCTTTTAAACTAATTGACAGTTAATAATGCACTCTGAATAGCAGATAAGAATTAATTAATTTGTGTACAATGGCAATTCCTTCTCTGTTTTTTTGCCCACTTCTGATTACAGCTATAATTTGGATAACAGTACCTTATCAAACTGTAATAATGCTCAGATTTTTTGTTCTATTAATACTGTTAATTTAGAAACTCTTCAGACATAAATGGAAACTTTCTGCTTCCAAAACACACTGGTTTGCTTATACCAACAGGCAGTTCTACCTGTCATCCTGCTGTCCTTTCACAAAGCTTGCTTGCTTAGACTTCTCAGGTGACCTTTCCAATATTTGGGAATTTGATTAAATTGTTTTAAATCCTCAGTAAATAATTCTACTTTATGAATAAAATTCTACAGACTAATAAAAGATATTGGACAGCTCCTGTTCAATATGTAAGAGAAAAAATTAAGTCTCCTATAAGTTAATGTTTCCGTTAATTCCTCTCAGAGATTTTTGTGATCCATGAAAATATTTTACCTCTCATATCATGGCTTTTTCATTTAATAGTCTGATGTGAGGAAACTTCAATTACACCTTTTAAAAGTGTATGGAAAGTAGAGCTACATTAATATTTAATCCACTGTTAAATTACTGTAATCAAAACCCCATGTAGATTGGTGAGGCACATTTATCATTGCAGAAGCAGTACCAACTACTTGTGATTTCAGTGATTTCAGTTAGTGCTACTGAGTCAACCATCAGTCTGTTGTCATCACATACTTCTGTCTACAGGCATTTGTGATTGTAAAGGATGAGAATTATGTGTCCATATTTTTTCATTATGAGCACCCAATGACTTGCAGACCTGTTCCCTATGTAAACTTTGAGACCACTTAGAGAGTATTTGTTGGAAACTCTCCTTCAGTAACTTAACATCTATTGACCAATTTTCTACCAAATTTGTTTTTCAAATTTATGAATACAAGAGACAAATAGAGAACAGACACTCTATTAATGCTTGCAGAAAATGAATACAGCTTACCACAGAGCAGAAAAAAGGGGAAAAGACAGTACAAATGCCTTAGCTATAAAAAAATCTCTTCAACAGAATTTAATGTCTTTTCTTATATGCCAAAAACCTACACCTGGCTTTAGAATAGATTTCTGTTTTCTAATAAGTTTTAAATGTCATACTGCTAGGGCATTTATAATATTTTACTTCTGCATGGAATCAGCTGTCAGAAGTCTAAATTCATTTTGCAACCATAGTATCTAATTGAAAAGTCAGCCAACAAAAAGGTGTAAGCTCATTGAAAATTATCCATTATTTCTGCTCTTTGTTAAGAGCTTTGCTAAAATGTAACTACATGTTTGTTATTCTGTAGGTCTTTGAAAGTATAAGATAATTCTTACATCAACAGACAAGCAAGCTGTCAATCTAACTTCTCCCAAAAATACAGGCACACATTTTCAGAAATGTATACACTTTTGATGACATTTTCTGTCCTTTAACTGATTTTAAAAAACATTTTTCAGAGAATTAAGAAAACCAATATAAATTTGTAATTATGCTAATTAAGTTTATATTCCCGGAAGTCTATAATTAGTTTTGCTGCCTCTCTGACACAGTACTCATTCAGCCTGTGCTGTAAGACGCAGTTCACAGTACTGCATATGCAGCTGAGTAGCTCGAAGAAGCTGCACAGCTTCCATCCTCCAGGGAAGAGGTGGCTCTGCAACAAATATTATTTAGTTTGCAAAATCATCTGAAATAAGTACAACGGTCTTAAGTTGTTCCAGTCTTATCCCATATCATTCTTTGAAACCACACCTTGTAAACATGAAATATAGAGCATGTAATCTGTGTCAGACAACCTCTAGATCCCTTCCAAAAAACTTAAAGAGACTGATTCACAGATGTACTGGAACAGAGAACTCTTTTTGCAATCTGGCGCCTTGGTATCTTTCAGAATCCGGGACTTAGTCCAAAATAACAAAAACTAGAAAAGGGGTATTATCACCCTTGCAGCAGTCAGAGGCTCCAAGGTAGTAGAAATAGCAGAGCGCGAGTTATAAAATGTGCCTCGGTCTCCAAGCAGCTAAATTGGAGTACACTGAGATGCATCAGACACACAAGCAGGTGCTTATAAAAGGGCCCAATCCCAATGCAGTAGGAGTAACCTGAGAAGACTTACATCATGATACCTTTTCTCAGCAGCCAAAAGCATATGAACAGAGGCAAAAACCCCTCATTTTCTTTCAAATGCTGTATTTCCCATAGACAACAGAACTTCGTATTTTGGTTCAATCCTCTGTCTGATAAATATAACGTTGGGTTTTTTTCTCCCTTTCATCCAAACTGCAGATTTACAGATCTTGGTGGATGAGAAGTGAGAGTATATGCAAGTGGGCTGATAGCAATTTAGGAGTACTAAAAAATATAGAGGAAAGAACTAGAATAAGCAGGACTATATGCATCATTTTCTGTGGGGAAGAAAAACCAGCTGAAAGCACAAGGGTGTGAGATAAAGCATGTCCATAATGGAAAGCAACAAAAAAAAGAACTATGAAAGAGCAAGCAAAGGGAAAAGAAATTAGGATACAATACGTTAAAAGCAGAGGGAAACAGCTTTCGTGATCAACTATAGGGAAGAAAAAAGACTGATGTGGAAGAAATTTGGGAAATGTTAAATTTAATATATTGTACCTCAAATTGTGAAGCAAATCTGTCTCAAACAGGAAGTGTTGGGGGGGCAGGTATTTGATGGGTGTTCCTCCACTTGGAAACTGGCTGGCTGAATCCAACCAAATTTGTCAGAGGTGTAGAATTCTCAAAGATACCTATAAAATGCTAAGTTCATGAAATCAAGATGCTGTGTTTGTCCTGACCAAGGGAAAGGATTCAGAATGCATTAACATCCTGTTGGACATTAGACGATCCACAAAAGGATGAGACTGTACTAAAAAAAAATTCCATTAGAGCTTATAACCACTATCAGGATTTAAAAAAAAAAAAACCCTGAACAAACACACATACACCAAAAAAAAAAAAAACAAAAAAACCAACCAAACAAAAAAAAAAAAAAAAAAAAAAAAAAAAAAAAAAAAAAAAAAAAAAAAAAAGAAGGAAAAAGGTAAAATCCGGCCTTCTACTGCTCAAGGAACCACTCTCTTAAAAATACTTCTTCCTCTTTCTTTCCACCAGGGGAAAAGACATGGTAATACTTGGTATAGTATTTACCACCAGGAGTAACAACAGACAAGTGTTAAAAGGCCCTCTTGATATGTAAAAGTGCTGTACAAAGGGAGATAGTTTTATCTTCCTTTGGAAAACTAAAGCAAGAGAAGCTAAGTGACTGCAAGGCAAAGCAGCAGTGAAAAAGCTGGATGGAAAGCAAAGCCAAGCAACCCAAACCACCTTCCACCCACTGCTTCAGTCTGCCTCGGAACCAGCAGCATCCAACGCATAACATAACACATTTTGTGGAACTCAGTTAAAAGAGAACATACAGCACACAGTGATCAATGAGCAGGGCTTTTTAGAAAAGCTGTATCATCCTTTCAGTTTGTTTTATACCGATCAACCACTTCGTGACATTACAAATATGCAGCTGATAGTCAAGACAAGCCAGTATGTTAGCTCAACACAAATGACCAGCAGCAACTCCTCAGCTTTTCTGACAAAACCAGATTTTAGATCACGACGTATATTAGCCATCTACACTTCAAACATAGTCAAGTCAGTTTTTCATACTGAAGTGATTTTGGTTCTTGCTTGCTGAAAATTAATCTTCGCTACTATTTAAGTAATGAGAAACTTCAGACAGTATTGCCCTGAATGCCTTCTCATGTATTTGCTTATCTACTGCTCCTAGAAAGGCAGCTAATTTCAACGAGTAAATGATTTTTGTAGGTTCTGCAACAAACACATCCACAATCCCAGATGATTACATTTCACTGGCAAGCGAACTTGGACGCTTGGACACAACACAGTAGAACATACTTATGTCAGCTACCAAGGCTTTGTGAATTAAACACTTAAAATTCAAGGTTAACATGGCAGAACTACTTTAATGATTTTCAACAGAATTCTCCAGATAAAATATCACAAACTGGTTGCACAAATAGACCTTGAATTTTTTCACTTTTCAGGAAGCACACCTTTCAACTTCAGACAATACCTGCATGCCAAGAGAAAAAGGAATGCAGTCATATGGAATCAGTTAACAATTGCTGCCAATAAACCAACTGACTGCAGTGGAAGAACCCCTTTTGATATTTCGATATATGCAGTGATTCATGTGAAGCGTCGTATAGCTTTCCTTACTTATGGATTCATCATCCATAGATTTAAGATGAAAAAGTCAGCTCATTACCATATGAAATGCTAGCTCAAGGTAGCATATTTCAGCTGTTGGAGATAAAAACACAAGGTCTTGGCGTTGAAATGTGTGGGACTTTTACCTAAAATCCTATTCTAGCATACAAAGACACAGCATACCTGTGTCTAACAGAACAGATCTTAATGCAGCACCTTGCTCCACTCCACACTATCAACACTTTCTACATGCCCTCTACATTTATTCTAGCCTTTCTTTAAAAACAAATAAAACCAAGTGATACCTTCTCAAGCTAAGAAAACAAATATTTCAAACCGTGACTGCTGAAGAGGGTGGAAAATTCAAAGTAGAGCATTTAATCGGATTAAATGCCACTGTGTCACAATTAGATGTCACTGTGTGCTCACTTTAATTCCGAAAGCACATGCGGCTCGAAGGGAAGTCAGGGCACCGAACCGCTCCAGGTGCAAGCGCGTGCAATGCACACACCTGGCGCTACAGCCAGCCCTCGGCCGGCGCTCCGCGCTTCCCGTTTCTCCCGTCCGCGGGCGCGCAGGAAGGCGCTGGGGAGCGGGCTGGGAGAAGTTGGAACCTGCGTGCTTCTCCTCGCTCCCGGCCATCCCCCGCGATCTCCGAGCCCTCTTAACAATGGTAGCAGTGTTCCAGCGGGCAGCTCTGCCCTGGGATCGGACCGAATCCCCCTGCGCTCCGCCCGGCGGTCCCGCCGCCCGCCCGCACCTCTGCCCTCGCCGTTTCCCGCGGCGGGGACGGGCGGGGAGGGGAGGGGAGGGGGCGCCTCTGCCCGCACCTGGCGGCGGTGACGTCACCCGCCGCCCCCCGCCCGCCCGCGCGCTGACCCCGGCCCCGCTCCGCCGCACCTTCCCCGCCGGCCGAGCCCGCCGCGGGCACACGGGGCGGCCGGGAGCGGGAGAAGGAGGGGAAGCGCCGTGCTCCGGCACAAGTGCGGCCCCCTCCTCGCAACACGCCCCCCTCGTGCCCCTGCCCGCGGGGGCGGCGGGGACACGGAGGATAAGCGGCTCCGCGGCGTGCTTCCCCCCTTCCCTCCATCACACGCTCCCGCCGCCGCCCCCCGCGCGGGCGCGGACAAAGGGGAGGGGACCAACACCTGGCGAGCGCCGGTCCCTTTGTGGGCTAGGCGCGTCCCGCAGCCCCGCCGGCGATGGGCAGCGGGGGCCGGTCCCTCCCGCCCACCCCACAGACCGCGAGGGAAGGAAGGTAGGGGGGCGGGGGCCACTTACTCGCCTGCCCTCGCTGCGCACCTTCACGCCGCTCAGCCCCAGCCCCTCCCTCCGCGGCCGCCGGGGCGCTGGAAGTTCAGGCGGCGCCGGCCATTCCCAGCTGGCGGCTCCGTGTTTCGGGGGGCGGCGGCGGGCGCGGAGCGTCCCCGGCGGCTTCACAATAGACACCGGGCAGCGCGCGCGTGTCTCTGTGTGTGTGCGCGTGTGTGCGCGCGCGGGGGGCGGGGCCTCTCCCGGCGCGCCGAGCCGGGCGGGAGGGAGCGGGGGGGAAGCGCTGTTTACCCGGCGGCCGAACCCGGCCGCCCCCCCACCACCGCCCGATGCTCGGGCTGGTCCATGCGCCGCCGCCCCCCACCCCGCGGGCGGGCAGGTGGTACAGTCCAGCCCGCCGGGCTCCCTCTCCCCGGCGCGGGGGGGCGGGGCCCCGCCGCTGTGACGTAACAAGCCGGGTGTGCCGACGGCCAATCAGCGCGAGGGGGCGGTGCTCTCCGGGGCCCGGCACGGGGCCGGAGCGGTGGGAGCCCGGGAGTGACAGCGGCGGTCCTGCGGGGCCGGGCTCCCTGCTCCGCTGTCCTCTGCCGAAAAGACGGCGAAGACGCTTTGTGTGGCGGAAGAAGTGGCCGGCTGGAGTTCTCCCCGGGCTGTTGAATATTTATTTTCCCTTGCCGCCAGACAAAGTGAAGGCGAGCGCCGGAGGGAAACTTCCGAGCGCTGCGCCGCGTTGCATGCTGGAGCTTGTAGTCCTCTAGAGTCCTGAAAGGTTAAGCACCATCAACAGCCAAGTGGATTGTTCTCCCCTCAAACGCCTGTATGTTCCGCAACAAAACTTATCCTTTAGAGTGTGTTTTCTGTTTTAAAGAGCCACAATTTTAAGACGCATCTCCACCCCGCTCGTTCTTCGGGGGAAGGGACGCCTCGAGCCATGCGGAGCTGCCAGGACCTGCCCGTCCCGTCATCCCCCGCGCCAAGATGTCGGCGGCGATCGCCGCGCTCGCCTCCTACGGCGGCTCCGACTCGGAGGCCGACTCGGAGCCCGAGGCCGAGGGCGGCTCCCAGGGTTCCGCCGCCGTGCTCGCCAGCCGCGATGCCGTGCTGCACCTCCGGGCGCCGCCCGCCGCGCCCCCGGCCCTGCCCGTCGATGCGGCCCCGGAAGTAGCCGTGAAGGTAGGCAGCCCTCCAGGGCCCGGGCCGCCCGCCCGCCCGCCCGGCGTGGTGTCCGCACCGCCGGCCTCGGGACAGCGCTGGGGGCAGCCCTGGAGCAGCCCCAGGCTGGGGGAGCGGGGCGGAAGGGGCGCGGTGCCGGTAGGGGTGCGTGCCGCCGCATGGCCCTGCCCTGCCTTGCCTGGAGGCGCGGGGGTCGGAGCTGTGCGTGTGTCGGGGAGCTCCCGTGGGTTCCAGCCGCGGGGGTCAGGTTTATTAAAACGTGTTCGCTCCGTCTCAGAGCGTGCCTTGATTCCAGTTCTTGAGACACTTGTTTGCTGTACCCTGTGTAAGGTGTTTTCCTGCGTGGCTTTCCCGGTTTGTGGGGTGAAGTCGATTCTTGATAGGGTGGCTGCAACCGAATCCTCTTGGAAAGGACAGCCTGAAAGCTGGTTTGTGTTTGGTTGGTGTTTCTGTATCATTATTGCTGGGGAAACCTTTCTTTTGCAAGTTCAGTATCGCATTGTCTCACCTTTGTGATAGCAGAAAGGGAGAGGGGAGGGTGTTGGTTTAGCTTTGAGATTTTTTTTTATATAGAAAACAAATTTCTAATCAAAAGCAGGCATCTTGCTGTGATAACTGTCGTTGTTACTGTCCTGCTGCCACATGCTCAGAAAAGTTTCTTGCCTAGTGACCGAGAGATGGATGGGCTCTTTCACTTTGTTGCCATTAATTAATTCATATCACAATTTATCATATTTTTGTGTAGCTGCTGTGTTGTTTATAGTGACTACGTTTGTTTATCTCTTAGAGGCTTGGAAATCTGGCTTCTCAAGTCGCAGCATCCAGCAGGCTGTCTTGTGCACATTTGAAAACAAATCCTAATTAACATCTATAATGTTTCCTGAGTGTTAGGGAGAAATGGCAAGTAGCACTGGATGGGCTTTCCACCACCTTTAAGCCTGTAGCAACAGGTTTTCCCTTTGCCTTGCCAGCACAAAAGTTCATGTAGTTGCTCAGGGACTGGCAACTACAGGGACTGGCAACCACAGCTTGCATTTTTGGCAGCTGAGAGTGTGAACCTGAGATGGTTGCTGTTCTGCATTCTGACTGTTTTAGCTGTTTCTAGTTCAGAATTTTGGCCTGTGAACTGGCCAAAGACTTATGTATGCTTTTAACAGGAACGGGTCCTCACTCTCTTTAATAGCAGCTGTCATTGTTAGCACACTGAGCTGACAGCATTTGGGCTACTGAAGTGTGCATAGCAAATAAAACCCTAAGATGTTACTCCTACATCTGTTTAGTTTTTTGGTCGAAATCTGCTGAGTCCTTGTTTCAAAGTATATCGTAGTTACATAAAGTCACATTTCTATGAAAACAATCATTCTGTAATTGGAAGCTGTGCTAATGGGTGGTAACTGTGTTTTAAAAGTTTGAGGGGCTGGTTTTTGTTACACCCTCTTCTGACAGTCTGCTTCTTGAAATAGCTCTGTTGCTGATCTTGATGTTAAATTGCTCATAATACGTAACAGCTATAATTATTGGTGACTCCAATCCAGTAATATTTCTACTCTCATTCTAAACTGAAAAGCCCATTGGAAGAAAGTTGCATGCTTCTGTTACTGTTTTTAGCACCACTAAAATCACTTGAGGGAACAGCAGAGGCAGAAGGTCTATGCTTCTGGTCCCTTCATGCAGAAAAAGATAGGTTGTAACTGCAGGACATTCAAGGAGAGACAGCTGGGCTGAAGAAGGGTTCTGCTTCTGTATGAGGGGGTAATGAGAAGGCCAAAACAGATGGCTGAGGTGTCAAATATGATAGATACCTACAACATCATTAAGTGGCACAGAGAGGGAGTTAAATACTCACTGTCTTTTCCATTACAGCAGCCATAAGCTGTCTAGTAGGAGTTAGGTTCAAAGCAAATAAAAGGATGCAGCTCTTCATGCAATGTGTACTAGGGCTTATTGTCATGCCAAGAAGTACAATGTGTTGAAGAATTTTGTTACAAGGAGAGTCTGGACAAGTACTTGGAAGAGATCCATTAAAGGATGAGATGTCAATAAATACACAGATGTCCTCAAGTCTCACCAAGACCTGAAAATATTTGGCTGTTGGGAGAGTGCAGATCATCATCATATACCCTTGCTCTGCTCTTACTCTCCCCAAATACCAAGTTTCCATAAGGCAGATGTTTTCTTTTGTGGGAGCAGTGGACAGGTTAATCAAGATATATTCTTTTTCCAGATACATCCTCAAGCAGTAGGTAAGTGTGACAGTGTTGTAAATAGAGGCTGTTCAAGAGAGAGAAGGGAGCCCACTTGCCAACAACCAGGCAATTGTCAAACCCAATTATAATTAGTTTTCCTACAGTTTCTACTTCTGGGAAAAAATCACCCTAACACTGCTGACAATTCTCTCTTCACTTTTAAATTATACACGTGGAAGGAAATTCAGAAAATTGCACTTTCTGTGAAGAAATCACTTCACAGGAACCATTGTGTCTATAAGCTTTACTTTTGAGAGAACAGTTATTGTTTGATCTCTGTCCAGGGTAAGGCTCTTATCAGAGCAGATTTTATGATACTTCTCTACAGCATGCCCTTCAGTGGTCTTGAGGAGGGGACATTTAACTGGGTTGGAATAACCAGGCTGGCCCAGCCCAGTGCAGGAGCTGCAGGATCTGTGTTGCCTTTAATGTGAGAGGGGATCGGAAGTGTCAGTTCCCTTTGAATCCAGTTTACCTTTGGCACTATGCAGGCTTCCAGAGAAGTTTTACATAAGAGGAGGAAGTCGACTTCAGTCACTCTTCTTGATGTTTTTTAAAACCTAATCCTGCCTGCAATGGAGAGAAGAAAGATACAAAGTGGCATATAACAATTCTGTAGCAGGGATTGAACCTTAGCAGACTTGGGAAGTGTTACTTGTTGGGAATGTTTATCTTTGACAGGGTGGGTTTTCCAACTTTCTTTGACACAAAATATCTTGTATGGAGTAGATGTTTAGAGCTTGTCATTCTGCAAGATCCAGGGAATCCAGCCTAGTTCAACAAAACCATTTAGCATATGCTTTTCTTGCTGGTTTATTTTTATTCTGTTGAAGTTAGTGAGGCAGTAATTTACTATTAGGAGTGCATGAATGGGTAGGAAGAATAAAAGCTGATAACAGCTATGTGTTAATGTTGGAGCTTCACTGCAAATGCTATTTATCTATTGGTAATAAATTTGTAAATCTTTAGAATGAGATAATGTGCATTTGACAGCCCAAGTGGTTTAGGCAAAAATAGATAAGTGACAAACTGCTTAAGTCTCAGTGGCTCATGGGATGTGGGCTTAATTTACCACATTTTAATGTGATTGATAATTAAAACTAATTAAATGTTATGCAAAGCAGCCTGCCCTTTTTTAGCTATTTGACTAACTAGTAATGACTATACCTGGGGAAATGGAATGTTGTAGGTTTATTATCTCAAATGTCCAGAAAAAAATAGAAAAACTCCCAACATGTAGACATCAAAACTCTGCTTGCATGAGATGAAGCTGGAAAATATAAGCCATGTTATATTCTTTCTAAGGAGCAGATTTACTATCCAGTGTTGCAGTATACAGTGCACCTCAATCTTTTTATTTAAGACTTCGGGTTTTTGCCTGTTACAGGGATTTTGCTGCTGTTTAATTTAAGAAATATTTTTGTCTTGTGTGCACATAAAGAAACTTCTAGCAAGCTTTTTTAATTTTTTTTAATTACTGAACTATTTTTTATTCCATAAATTAAAGTGATTTTTGTAAAAAGCAACACTTGTTTTATGGCATTTGGGTAGGAGTTTTTTGAAGAAAAAGAGGACTGTGGCATGTTTAAGGAACTTGTTAAGGAGGAAAGTTAATCAGATCTACTGTACTTGTAGTCTAAAATCCCTTCTATTTCCTGTCCTCTTTTGTATGCTTTAAAGTGGCCAAGCTTTATGGTAGCACTCAAGGAGCATGCCTTGAAAGGAACCAGACATTTGGTGATCTCTGGGAAGTTGTAATGAAGCACCCCCTTTTCTACACTTACCATCAAAACCCTTTTCCTGTCTCAAGATAGACTCCTTAGGCAATGCTAATGCTCAAGAGTACAGCCCTGTGTGTCATTCCCCCATAATAGTGTGATTGTGTTTTGCTAAACAGAAGGTACAAAGGGGGAACACTTAACTATCAAAATAATTTTTTTACCTCATCAGGTCATCTCTGAGCTGTAAAGCAACCTGATATTGCAAATAAGTAGACATCACATATATTAAAAAACCCAAAACAACATACCAACACAGTAAGTAGTTTGGTGAAATGGCATCATCTGCTTCTTCTTGCCTCGTATCAGTAGTGATTCTTGCATCTCTGTGGACAGACATTCATTCAACCTGTCTACCAAACTTCAGTGGCTCTATGGAGTGAGCATTTTCTGGTTTTGATTCTCCTTATTTCTGCAAAGTTGTATAATCTGAATCTCTTCTGTGCTGAATTAGATTGCTCAATTTTTCTATTCAGGTTGTATTTTCTTAGCCCTTCAATAATGGTTTTTTTTTTTTTCTTTTGAACACTTTTCAGTAGCATGTGTCTTACCTGACATGTGGTGCCCAATGCAGTCACTGTATTTCAGTTAGGTGCTTGTTACAAGTGCTGAGAAAAGCAGAGGTGACACACAGAGCTGAGTTTGCAGCTCCTTTCTATTATGTTTTTCAAGATAGGCATATTCAGTAAAATATAACTTCCTAAAACCTTAATTCTTTGGTTCCAGGTTATATGGGGTGTACAGCCCTTTAATGATATTTCAGCATGC